CCCACCGACCGACGAGACACCCGCTTGGCTACACTCTGTTGACGAGTATGCAGTTGGCTTTGGCTGGCTGACTTTTGACGCGCAGCTTTTCGTCCCCTCCCGAGGCAAGTGGATGGAGGGTATCGTACAACTTCAGAGTGAGGGTCACATTGGCGTGGTGTGCTGGAACAAGTTCAACGCCAGCATCGAAGCAAAGAGGCTGCCTGAAGGCTGGAAGTGGGTTGATCTCGCTAAGGGCGGCAAGCACACCGGCTCTCAGTCCGAGGAACAGGAAGAGGAGGGTGAAGGACAAGAAAAGGAGGACTCGGATATTTTGGATGGCGAGGAGCTTCAAGTAGTCGAACAGATGCACACGACCGGATACTGGATCAACGAGCGCGGCCGCAAGGTTAGCGGCAAGCTGCGGTTCCGCATCAAAAACTTTGATGTTGGCCAGGCGGGAGACTACGGATATCTCAGCATCGAGGGAACGTGCTTGGACGAGGAGGGAGAGAGAACTCTTGCAGCTGAGGAGCGGGCGACAGAAAAGAGACGGCGCGGCAAGCAGAGCGGTCTGCTCAAGCCAATGTCTAGGAGGGTGCCCGAGTTCAGCATGACCAAGTTTGGCAAGGATGACGAGGAGGAGGACGATGGGAAAAGGACGGTCCTGTACAAGGCCAGCCGGCCCGGCACGCCCGATGACTAGGTGTGGTTGGGACTGGTGAATAATACTTCCTCTCCCTTTTCAGGGCGATCTGCCAGGAGCCCTGGGTTTTGCTGAGCAACTATTTAGACTTTTGGTGGGTTATAAAAAACATGAAGGTGAATAGATGAAGGTGTACGGTTGGGCAAACGGGTAAAAACATAATATTTTTGTTTGTTTCTGTTCATACCTGGTCTGCCAAATCTACTTTCTCACAAAGAAATCTCAATACCCAAACGCCATCGTTTTCGTCGTTCAACCAAAACCCGAGCCTGTTTATCATGTCTTGAAGAAATGAAACGGTAAAAGCCACAAAAATGAGCACTCAAAACCAATCAGCGCATACTTCCACCTGTCCAAGTTGACCCAGACATGGTAACCAAATCTCGTCTCGGTTTGTTATAGTATACCCTCCTTGATGATCCAGTCGTCCCCGTCATCTGTCTTCTTCCCCTCGACCTGCTGTAGGAGGTGTTATACAGGTCTCTGTTTTTCGGTTTCACCGTCCGCACCAATGCACGCAACATGGGAACGGCTGCAGCCATTATCGTAACGGCTGCTTCGGCATTGCCCCAGATAACAAGGGTTACACCGTCGTCTTTTTTCCCCGGTCAAAGTCAGCCCAAATCACCAGACGTTAAAAAGGAACTCTTTGCAACTCACGTGGAAAATCCCTGCCCCCAAGCTCAGGCATCGACGAACACTTGATGAACGCCGACGCGGCAGCAAACACCCCCATGCTCATGGCCAATGCAACACCAATTTTCTCCTTGGTTTGCATTTGGAGGTTCATGATAATCTTCCATGGAATTATGGCGAGTATCAAGTCCATCACTCCCGAGTAGGCTTTTTTCAGTGTCAGCTTTCCTCTAGAATTCCTCTCCGAAAAAAACCAGGTCGACTTACCGCTAGTAAAAATCCCATAGGTGATAATGATATTAACTGGCCAACACGTCCCCCTCATCAAAGGATGCCATGCCTTTTCCAGCGGCGTACAGCCAACCCAAAACAACATGGCCGATACCCCAAAAAGCAGATTCATGCTTACAATAGCGAACCAGATAAATATTCTTGTCTTGCCGTGTATCCCGTCGGATATCATGAGTAAAGAAATGGCAAAGGAAGTCTTACTCCATGCTTGACTGCAGATGGCCAGAGTTACTGTAATCTGCCCGATGAGGAACATGTCGTTGAGGTTCTCTCGGGGTATCTGCCAAAAGTGCTTGCCGTATCCGAGGTCGATGGCGAGGTTGTTACAGATTGAGCTGCCGAGGAGAGCCGTCCATGCTGCTATGGAAAAGTAGTCGTCTGCGTGGAGGCGACGGTGTCGGATGAGTTTGCAGTAGATGCGCGTGGCGAGGAAGAGGAAGGAGGCGCCTGTTAGGATCCATACTGAGATGCGGGTCGTGGGACCGAGATCATCAAATTGGGATTTGTTGCGGCCAAAGAAACCAGGGAAGCCGTTATTGGTGGTTGTGTTTCTTTGGTTTTGGTTGATGTTGGGGTCCATGTTGTTGTTTTCGTCAAGATGTTGGATGATCGGGAGTGACCTGCACACAGCTTCAACGAAATAGATTATCGTAGCTGGTCTTCTTGTTTTGAGAAAGAATTTTTTAAAGGAATATGAAAAAGAAAAGGGTCTGCGAAGAGAGATATGGACGAGGACAGGAGACCGTAGCTTCTTCGTCCATCGGAAAATAGAACATCATCCTGTCTTTGGACTCGGCCTCCATGTCCATGAAATTTGACGATCACCAGTATCAGACTGAAGAAATATCCAAGCGCAACTTCCTGGTCCCATCATCTCTGACAAGCCTTTTCGGCAGTTGAATGGTTTTGCGGAGAAGTCTCGGCGATCCCGAAAACTTGAAGCCCCTGAAAATCGCTGCCGGGGGTGTGCAATAAACACCAAGTCTACAATATCCCTCATTGAACGTTTGTTACGAAGTCCCAAAATACATTCAAGCATAAAAAGCCAAGGAATATTGAATGCAATTTTCACAGAAAGGAAAACTGCTGTCTCGTGCACTGACTTGAGGAGATGTTTGAGGTTGAGTCCGGGCGCTTCCCAATAAGCAAGATGATCAAACATGCCAAATGAGGAAACAAAGTCAAAACCTTCGAGAAGCTTTAGAAAAAATTATGTCAAGCAATTATACAAAGCCAACCAGATCCGGAAGCTGGACAGTTTAAAAATGCTTTGTCTAGGTATGTGGTGTCCACGCCATGATAAAGAACCTAAAACACCGGATTGGATCACCATATCCCTTTATTTTGGCCTGCCTCGGAAACCACCTCTTATTGAACAGGGCAAGAAAATGAACCTTTTCTATCGATTGAAATCAAATCCCTCCGCAAAGACACCTCTATCTATCGAACATGGATGACTTCCCCCACGAACGTCAACAGTTCTATTCACCCGACTTTATACCTCATTTCTGGAACCACCTATCAATTGTGCTGCATCCGACAAGAAATCCTGAATACGAAGCCAGGGCGAAGGCGGACGAGGAAAGAGAGGACCCGAGTCAATCCTCATGGTATCTAGAGCAGCGTGACAGGGGATTTGTCTTCATCAGCTGGTTTAACAAACCCACGGGGAGAATACCCTGGAAAACTCAAAAGGACAAGGGAAAGCCCGGTGGGAGCGTTGGTCTCTTTGTAACAGTCGACCATCCTCACGAGCTGGTGGTTATCAAGAGAATACTCGGTCACACAGAGCGCACGTTGAACTATTCGCTCAACCGATTTACCCACCCCGAAGCTGCCTTCAACACAGTCAGAGATGAGGTGATGCAAAAGGTCACACTGCCTTCATTTCCGTCGTCCTTGCCACAAACATACGCTTTTCAGGTCCATGGGGATGGTCCTGATAAGAATAGACGGAGAGCAGAGGCCACGATATTTCAAAAATATTACAATGGAGGAAACCTAAAGGAACTCGTTCTCCAGCACAAGCGCTTGAAGCGGCAAATACCTGAGCCATTCATATGGCACGTTATTAGCGAATTGGGGCGCGCCTATTCGGTTCTGCATTTAGGCGAAGCAAACAGGAGATACACCGTGGCCGAATATAATGCAAACCACAACAACCAAGCTCATGCAATGAATAACCGTGGCATGGGAACCAATTGGTCAGAAGAGGACGCAATCATTCACAGCAACGGAAGGTTGGAAAATATATTCTTGCATTGGCCCGATGATGCGGCAGAGAGGGATCACGCAACTGATGGTAGCTATCGCAAATACCGCAGTGAAGGGTGCCCAATGGTGGTTCTAGGTGACTTTGGGCTGGCGTTCCAGGCACGTAAGGCAATGGAGTTGACAAGGGATGATGTACTCTCTCATATCTCACACCCTACCATGCCGGAGCGGACAACTTGGCGCGACAAGGCTCATCTGGGACATATCGTCAAGCACCTTCTCTTGGCTCATCATCCGGATACAGACATCTGCGAGAACATGTATCAGGATTTTCGGCAGGTCGCAGCACGGGGCGAAATTCAACTCGTAGGTCATCTTGACGCGCTCGGCTTGACAGCTTTATACTCTCCTCGTCTACTGGAAGTGGCCGTGAACCTCGAACGACTCGGCAATTTGCTTACAAGATCAGCAAATGGCACAGAAGACTTTTGGACCAACCTGAGAAACACTGCAGCAAATGACTGGGACAATTGGATAAGAAATAACACTCTCTACGGCAGCACCATTGCCGAGGCAGACTACGTCCTGGACAGCAACCTCTGGGGGACCGGCCGGTTTGCCCTCCCAGATCAATACAGATTACCTAAGGACCTGCCGAACAGGGACACTCTGTTTTCAAATGGATTATATGATCTGAAATGGGCAACTCCGAAAGAAACCCTCATCCCCGTACGGTCCCGCGCTAGATACCCACCCGACACGCGGCGGGACTGGCGCGCTGTGTGGAGGTATCTCGAAAAAAGAATTGACCACGAGTTTTCGGATTATAGATATCGTGATCATGCGCCCTACGAGGAGCGTCCAGTTGAGATTATGAAAGTCTGGCCCAAGCGAGGTATGGAGGAAGAGTCTCCAAGTAAATATGATCCACCAATGGAAGCAGTCGACCCGGACCCTAACGACTGGAATGAACCGCGGCGGAAGAGGAGAGAACGGGACGAAGAGAAGGGAAGGCGGAGGAGGAACGAAGTTGCACGGAGCGCAATTATGCTGTTACGTATTGTGAAAACAAAACAAAAATAAATCTAGAATATCTAATATGGAGGGTGAATGGAACGTGTTTGGTTGAAGGGAAAAAAGAGTTGGGTTTGCAGGAAAAAATACAAAAATAAGCTGCCTACTACAGGAATCGAACCTGTGATCTTTGCATCTCTTAGACTCCATTGCTGGATACAAGTGCAACGCATTAGCCACTATGCTAAGCAGGCGGACAAGTGCTTTTATTGTTGGATACAGGGGACATAATTGAATCTTATGACTCTAATACGAAAGACAAACTGATTGAACCATTTCCTTCCGAGTAACACCAAATCTGATATATTGAACCCTCATCTCAAAAGACACGTCTTGTAGCGAAGCTCTTCGGTATTGCTCAAATGCATTCATATTTCATCCGATCATCTTGGACCCAACTGGCGGTAAAGCATCATGACAGGCTAGAATGTCAATGAACCAGCTTCAAGACCAACATCCTCGAAAATAATATCTTTGTCAAGATATCGAACCATGTTTTAATCTAGCGAACTCGCTTCCAAACAGCAGTTCCGTGGCACAGCAAATCCAACGGCCATGCAACCACGCGACTTTCCCCGCATTCAACCATTCAAAATGCCACCTCATCACCTTCCAGAATGCGGATGAGCATGTCCGACAAACAAATTGACCAATCAAACGGTTGGTAACCATGACTGTGACCCCCAACTTCACGTCAAAAGTTGGTTCTGCACATGCAGTTATGTCTGTGGTTGTTCACCAACCTCCGAGACCGACAGGAAGCGGGAGGGGGTCGGCAGTTCAGCCTGTGAGGAATTACTGATATTAAACGTGATCTGCACCCAGAGCAGAGGAAGGAAATTGGTCGGACCTTAAAAGAAGGACCGGATCCCGATTTTGGCTCAATATTACTGTGCTCTTCCACTTCACTTGCCCCTGGTATTTCTCAGTCTCTTGACATCAACCTCAACCTCACCTTGTACTGCTTCCCCAATTGTTTCTTTAGTTTCATCAAACTCGATAGTCTGCCCAAAATGGCCAACAACTTCCCACGTCTTCCCCCCTCGGGGATCAAAGTCCTCATCGTCGGCGCCGGCTTCGCAGGTCTCTCAGCAGCCATCGAATGCGACCGCAAAGGCCACACCGTCACACTCTTTGAAAAATCCGACAACATCGAAGAGTTAATCCGCATCGGCGACATCATCAGCTTTGACCCAAACGGTTCCAAAGCCTTTGAGCGATGGCCAGGGGTCGTAGACCAAATGGAAGCCGTTGCACGTCAAACCACCTGGCTTGACCTTTATCACCACCAAGGAAAATTCGTCACTCGTCAGTCTTTTGCCGAGGAAAAGATATGGGGCCGTAGAATCAATGCGCATCGTGGACAATTACACAATATTATTTATCGACATGCCGTCGCGAGGGGGATTGATATTCGTCTTGGGCAAAGAGTGCAGGATTACTTTGAGAGTGATTCCCCGGCTGAAGCGGGCGTGGTTCTTGCAACCGGAGAGAGAATTACAGCAGATGTGGTGATTGCTGCTGAAGGAGTCAGATCCCGCGGCCGCAAGATCGTTTTGGGATTTGATGAAAACCCGAAATCCTCGGGGTATGCAGTTTATCGCGCTTGGTTTCCCGCTGATCGCATCAAGAATAATCCCGTCATTAAACATATTGTTGAGAACGGAGACACGCATCAGGGGTTCATCGGTCCTGATATTCATTTCCTGGCGTCGTCAATCAAGAATGGCACAGAGGTGAACTGGGTTTTTACGCATATCGATGACGGGAATATCGAGGAATCGTGGCAATTTCCAGGGAAACCGGAGGAAGCACTCAAATATCTGGATGGATGGTGTGATGTGGTGCATGAGTTGGTCAAAGCCACACCTGAGGGGAGGTTGATTGATCATAAGCTTGTGTATAGAGATCCTTTGCCGACGTTTATTTCCCCAAAGGCGAGAATCGCGCTCATTGGTGATGCGGCTCATCCGTTTTTGCCCACATCTATTCAGGGAGCGAGTCAGAGTATTGAGGATGGTGTTGCGTTGGCGGCTTGTTTGGAGTTGAGTGGAAAAGAAAATATTCCGAGGGCGTTGAGGGCGTATGAGAAGCTGCGGTATGAGAGGGTGCATAAAGCACAGGCGATGGGACCAAAGACGAGGAACAGGTGGCATAAGGCTGATTGGACGCAGGTGTGGAAGACGCCCGAGATGATTCATTTGGTGAGGGAGCCGTGGTTGTTGAGTTTTGATGCTGAGAAGGATGCGTATGAGAGGTTTTGGAAGGTTGTTGAGGAAGGGGAGAAGGAGAAGGGGTCGGTAAAGGAGACTTCAAAATTGTGACGAGGGTGACGAAGTCTTTTCTTAATGTTGCGGTTCTCGTTTTGCTAGATAATTGGTATTCAGGGGTATAATTAAAAGGTACACGTACAAAACAATCATCATCAACCACCGGTGCACTTGGAACCACAAGACTTGGGTTTGTACTGCATCTATTATTTGAATGCGAATCAAGTATATACATGAATCTCCACCTCCTCATCCCGCATTACTGTTTGATGATTACTTCCAAACTTCAAACTCAACCTTGCACCCATCAGCCCATTTACAGGCACTGAGAGTACCACTGGTTCTGAGCTCTGCAAGTAGAGCCAGATTGGCAGCAGGTAGGGCCATTGTATCCTTGTCCACCGCACTGTCCCCACTTGGCAGCGCAGTCACCACCACCGCCACCGTTGCCAGGGTTGGTAGTAGGCTGAGGAGAAGGCCCCTGAGTAGGCTGGGGTTGAGGCTGGCCGCCACCGCTGTCACCGCCGGCACCAACGTTGATAGTAGCGCTGCCGCTCGAGAAGTATCCCTCGGTAGCAACGACCTGGTAGTTGTGGGTTCCGAGTCTGAGGCCAGCACGCTCCCAGGCATTGAAGTGGTTGGCCATGTTAACGGTGCCGCCGGTGCGCTTGGTCTCGCGGACGGACCAGTACTGGTCAAAGGTGGCGGTGCCGTCGATGGAGGGCTGCTGGACACGGGTGGACTTGAAGATGCCGTAGGTGGCACCGTCGGTGACGACGGAACCCATTCTGGTGGCGCCAGAGGATGGGTTGTAGGTGCCAAAGTTCTCGATAACGTAGTACTCGACGAGGGGGTTTCTGGTCCAGCCGTAGACGGCAAGGTAAGAGTTACCGTTGGGCTGGTAGGTACCAGTGTAGTTGATGGTTCTATGGTCAATTGTTAGCAATGAAACAAAAGGTTTGTCTTCTGATATTCTTACCTGGCAGTACCAGGGTTCCATCCCTTGCCACCGACCCAGTTACCGTTGCCAGACCAGCTCACGCTGTACTGACCGCCGGCCTCGTTGGTGTAGCGGACGTTCGGGCCACCATCAGTCCAGAAGGAGAAATAGTATCCATTGTGAGTTCCAGTTGCGCTCTGGGTGTAGGTCTGGCGCTTCTGGAGACCGGGAAGCTCACCGGGGGCAGCAAAGGCCCCGATGGCGCTGGAGGCAGCGAGAAGGAGAGAGGTGAAGGTGACCATTTTGGACTATGAGGTTGAATCTGAAGACTGGCCTGGGAGAGTCCAAAGCTTGGAAGTGAACCTCATGAGGGCTCCGTCAATGCTTATATAAATATTCGGAGACTGCTCCATGTTGTATTTTCCTACTTGGTAACTTGCGGAACTCGAATCAAAAATTCCTATTCTTAGCTTAGTTTCAAAAAAGACCTTTCGGAGTCTCATTCGTTTGTGTTGTAATGCAACCCCTTGACGGACTTGACCTTGATGGAGTGTGCTTGTCCTTGATTCATGCCCCGGATCTTGGCCCCTGTCGTCTGTAACGTCGATGATTCCCCACATTTCGGCAGACACCATTTCGTCGCTTTTCGTGAACAAGGAGAATTGTCTCCTGACACATTGAGTTGATCGTCGTCACTTTCGGGCAGTGTCGAACATATGGGATGAAGGCAATGAAGATCTGAAACGATCTGTTGGTCCCGTCGGCTGCTGATCCGTTGAAGCCGAAGGCCGTCTTCATTCTCGAATCGAGATCCCTTCAACCTCGAAGGGAGGGAATGAATAAAACAGCCATAAGAACGTAGCTAATGATTCGGATGCGGACTCGGAGAGAGAAGCCCAACGTTGACCTGGGTCTTGGCTACCCCGGATCATGACCGCTTCCAGATCGGAACGGGCAGCCGTTATGGACAAGGATATGGAGTGCGCGCCAAGACGTCATGTCCCCGTTGCAATCACAGCATCACACAAAAGTTAGCCGCGCGTACTATTGTAAAGGAATTTCATGACGTGGTCCTCGAACTTTGGTCGCCGATGGTGGGCGGCTTGGAAACGGAAACCCGGTTTTGCATTGACAAACGCCACCACTAAACAAATGAAAAGGGGCCATCAGCCTTGTCGAAACACTGCAATCAATCCGGGTTGGTGGGCCATGTTCAGTTCTCCAAGTGACAATGGGTAAAACGATCGAGGAGTCCAGGGAGGCGACTGCCGATTGAACCGGCGGATAAATAGATGCCGATGCAACCCAAAGGTCTTGGAGTTGGCGCTGTTTGGGCTTCTAGCGCTGGGTCCAAGAGCCTCACCTACTGCAACAGGTAAATCCGGGGAATCAACGACCGAGATGGAAAAACAATGGGCAAATGGAAGCTGCGAGAATCGATATCACAATAATAGTGATAAAAGCGGTTATGAAATAATTTTGATAGAATGATCCTTACGAAAAGGCAATTTTGGCCTGCATTGACGATGTGGACGACTGGTTGTTAATTGTAGAGAGTGGGTACTCATCGGTTGCTGGGGAGGGATATTGACTCAGGGGCAAGTAAACAACTTATCAGCATCAAAACAAAGCATGGGACATTTAAATGTCAACTCTTCTTTAGGAACGCCACTTACGAAGACATCGTGCGCAAATATGCAAAAGCACTAAACTAGAGACGGGTAGACCGCCCACTACCGTGCATCCCCGCAAGTTGGGCAAGTGGGATGCAACATCGAGACTCAAGTGACTTGAAGATGATAATAGGCTATATGCGGAGTCCCATTGGTGTTGCATTCCTACGGCTTGTTCCTTTTCCTGGGGAATAGCCTAATCTGACCGTTGCTGTAGTCCTGGACTTTTGAGGTTTGAGTTGCGAACATGAGTTCATCACGTGTTCATGAGATCTCAAAAAAGTTCTTTTGGTGGCGAGTTGAAGATGTGA